GATTTGACCTTTGTACTAGAAGAACTGTTATAGTTAGTAGAAATTCTTCAATCTGTTATATAAGAAGTTATGAAGAACTGTTATGAAGAACTGTTATATAATATATATATATATATATATATTGATTGATATATCATTTCATTCATGTTTTTATTCCTTCCATTCTTCCTTGACCTGAAATGAACTAAACTGAACTTGCTTCGTTTGTGATAGAAGAATACTGAGTGAATGACAGAGTAGGATAATCAAAGCTACGTTTCCGCCTATTTGACTTTTATATATACTAATTGATTGATTTATCATCTCATTCATGTTTTTATTCCATCCTTTCTTCCTTGACCTGAACTGAACTTTCTTCCTTTGTGATAGAAGAATACCAACGTCATTGAGAATACTGAGTGAATGAAATGGAAGGTTGATTAGGCCAGACCGTCTTAATTTTATGGATGACATCCGCGCGCGCATTGATTTTCGCCTGTTCTAAAAAAAAATTACGTCCTCCGAGGCTTTGGCCTGGCTTTAGGCCTGGTTAGTCCGTAGTAGTTAGCGACAATACGGAGCCGGTGGTAACTGTGGAGGACGGCACCCAGGCTGCCAAAGCTTCACGACTCAAGAAGTCAGCACATACGTACAGTGTCGACTCAAATTTCGCGAAAAGCAGAATTTACTGTCGCAAATTCACAATACTAGCTTTGTATAACTGTGGTTTAGTACCATTTTTATTTTTGGCCGGAAATCTTTTTTTATTCGCCCGCGCGCACTAGTTTAGCGGTCTTCAGAGGATGTCATCCATAAAATTAAGACGGTGTGGCCTAATTGATTCATTTATCATCTTATTCAATCCTTTCTTCCTTGACCTGAACTGGACTGTCTTCGTTTGTGAAGGAAGAATACCAGGGTCCTTGGGAATACTGAGTAAATGAAATCGTAGGTTGGTTAGTGCTACAGTTCTGCCTATAGTAGAATATTCTGCAATCAGTGACTGATTTTGTAAGGAAAAATCACGTACCTCCAAATTTTCGGTGTCGACTGTACACCTTGATCACGGAGTGACCTAGTCTCGCAAATTTCTTCTTCTCAACAATTTGGAGGTACGTGATTTTACCTTACAAAACAGTCACAGATTGAAGAATATTCTACTAACTGTTAATTCTACGGGACTGTTGAACCTCTTCGACTACATGTCTGCCACTTTGACTTGTACTGACCGAAGAAGGTGAGCAGGGCGCTCCGGTTGCGGTACGATCCGTTTCCCGTCAGCCCCTTCATGGTGAGCTCGCTCAGTGTGCGGGGGTTGGGCCGGTCCCCGCCCGACGGCTGGTACACGCCGTCACGGTAGTGGGACGGGAGACGCCTCGTCAGAGGACTGTCTGAGATAAAACATAAATCTTTAAGATAAATCCTGTTATGATGACTGGTTTATTGATTAAAAAACATTTTGCAACCCGTAGACTGAATTGCATGTTTCTTTACATCATTGCCCACCTTTTAACAACTTTAAAATATCATTCTAGCTAGGAATGTATACATAAAATTAAATTGCGATCTCTTCAACATAAAAATATATACATGATAAAAGAGATAATACGTTAATTGTTTACGTTTACAACTCATTTAGGAGTTTTACTATATGGGGCAAGGGGCTCTTGGAGTACCGCTTCGTACGTGCTAGAATAGGTCGAGTTTGTTTTTTTGCCTTGTTGACCTCCCTGTTAGGCCATGTTGATTTGATTATATGGATGACATCCGCGCGCGCATGAATTTTCGGCCGTTTCCAACAAAAAAGTTTTCAACCATACTGTAAATCGTACAAAACAGTTGCAAAATGAGCAAAAATATACCATAAGTTACAAAAAAAAATAATAAAAACTATACCAATGTCGTAGAATGCCAAAATCAAACGAAAAAAGACGAAATTGTAAAGAAATGAACTTGAAGACTAGATTATTCGCCAAACCATATTCATTGCCATTTGCTCAACCCTCATGACCACGTAGATTTCATAATGATAACAATTTTTTTGCAAAACTTTTTTTATTCGCACGCGCGCATCAGTTTTGGGGCTCCTGGAGGATGTCATCCATATAATCAAATCAACATGGCCTTACTTCGCCTCTTGTCTGAGGGAGCCAGACATCTTATGGAAGATGATAGAGCAGTGTGAGTTACGTAATTCAAAATATGACACTCAATCACGCCTTCACTGGATCTTTCACTAGGTCATAACAATCTACGGTTACGTTTTTTTATGTTTACCTTTGCAGAAGGAAAACATGTTCAATTTTTTTGCTCAGTTTCTTTTCCCTCTTCTTCTTCTTTAAAACAAATAAGGTAAATTCTCAACTAAGCAGACATCTGTCACCATGGTAACTGGTGCTGGGTTACATCATGTTGCAATTTTATAGCAGGAGGGATTTAGACTCCTGTCACCATGTATATGAATGTGTTTCAGTAAGAATTGACAGAGCAGATCATATGCGAAGGTAAACATTAGGCCACAGCAAGTAATTTTTATGGATGACATCAGCGCGCGCATTAATTTTCGCCTGATTTTGGGAAAAAAAAAAACAAGAAATTTTGTTGCCCTCTGATAGTGGTCAACATGCCGAAAATGGGCAAAGATGTCTGTTGCCATACCGGAAGGTGGATGGCAGATAATTATGAAGAGAGGAGACAAGAAAAGGCTCTGATTTAATGTTTTGTTTCTTACTTTGATGCAGTGATATGTGATGCTGGCTGTGTATATGTGATGTTCCCACTGAATCAAAACCATTTGTACAATGATTGAGTCAAATTTTAAATTGTATGAACCTTGTTTTTTTTCGCCCGCTCGCATTAGCTTTGGAATCAGCGGAGGATGTCATCCATAAAATTTACTTGCTGTGGCCTTATGCATGTGTTTTGCAAATGTTACGTTTCTAGTTTCTAGTTACCTGCGATGCCCCACTCGGGGTGTGCGCGGTTGTTGTACCAGCCGTCATACCCCTCGTACTCCACCTCTCTGTGCTGATGAGAAAACTGCACCTGGAATCCTGGTGGGAAGTAGAACAAAGGTCGTCAGTTAAAGCCCTGCCACACATTCACGAATGATGTGTGGATTCGTGTGGCGCAGCGGCAGCGTGCTCGACTCGGAACCAAGAGGTCCCGGGTTCGAGTCCTGACATGCTACCTATCTTGTGTCCTTGGGAAAGGCACTTTTCACGACTTTCCTGGAAGGACTAAATGTTAGAAACGGTTCCTGAACTTTAAAAGTTGGTCAAATACAACAAGAAATAGCCGTTTGTGGGGTCGTGTGGCGTAGTGGCAGCGTGCTCGACCCGGAACCAAGAGTTCCCGGGTTCGAGTCCTGATGACATGCTACCTATCTTGTGCCCTTGGGAAATGCACCTCACTTAGCTCACGTGAAAATGGAGTATTGTCCTGTCCTGTATTCGTATTGGTGGCGGCATAAAATAAGTTGATATAACTTGTGTGTGCTGTCACCATGTCTAGTCATGAAATGTTGGAATATAAAAAAAAAAACATTCACGAATTTGGCCTCCCGAACGCTAGCCGAACGCCCCCCAACCATGGTTAGGAGTGGGCCGGCTGGCGTTCGGCTGGGTCGGCTGGCGCTCGGGAAGTTCGATCATATATATTTTTCTTAATTCCAACATTTTATGACTAGACGTGGTGACGGCACACTCAAGTTATATCAACTTATTTTATGCCGCCACCAATGCAGAGGACGAATACAGGACAAGGCAATACTCACTTTTACTTGAGCGAAGTGAGGAAAGTCGTGTAAAATGCCTTTCCCAAGGGCACAAGATCGGTGGCATGTAAGGACTCAAACCCGGGACCGCTCGGCTCCTAGTGGAGCCCTCTGCCGCAACGCCATCCGACCCCACCCCCGTTGTCATGGTCGGTTGGCTTTAACAAAACACCTGCCAACCATCCTGGAGTAAGTCAGCAGTGTTCGAAATTTTCAGCACGTTCCTTGTAATCGTATTCACGGACAATCTAGATTAATCTTGAGGGAGAATCTCCCCCGAACGAGAGAGAGAGAGGGGGGGAGGGAGGGAGAGAGAGAGAGAGAGAGAGAGAGAGAGAGAGATTAACACGTACATTAACATCGCCACAAAAAAAGCTTTAAAAATCAAGAATTAGCTATAACCTTACTTGAGAAAAAAAAGGGAAGAAAAAAATTAATAGAAATTACTTCAGATCAAGTTAGACTAAATGTTCAATGACATTTATTTTGCATAGTAACATGCCTACCGGTTTGAGTATACGTACAGGTCACAACAAAGGAATAGCTTGTATTACACATAGTCAAGCGAGCACTAGAAGTAGTACAGTTCAGTTCAGTGTTCCTACATTATGTACAGGTAACTCTAACCTTGTATGTGTTTACACAAGGTAACGCTACCGGGAGCTACACATAACATAGAACGTGTCGTGGGTCGTGTGGCGTAGAGGCAGAGTGCGTGACTCGGAACCTAGAGGTCCCGGGTTCGAGACCTGACATGCCACCGATCTTGTGCCCTTGGGAAAGGCACTTTACACGACTTTCCTCACTTCGCTCAGGTAAAAATGTGTATTGTCCTGTCATGTATTTGTCCCTTGTGTTGGTGGCGGCATTTATATAAGTTGAAAAAACTTGAGTGTCTTGAATTATGAACATTTTTTCTATATTCCAACATGTAATGACAAGACGTGGTGACGGCACACTCAAGTTTTTTCAACTTCTATTTATGCCACCACCAACACAGGGGACAAATACATGACAGGACAATACTCATTTACACCTGAGCGAAGTGAGGAAAGTCGTGTAAAGTGGGCAAGGGCACAAGATCGGTGGCATGTCAGGACTCGAACCCGGGACCTCTTGGTTCCGAGTCGGCCACTCTGCCACACGACCCACAGTGTTCCTACATCATGTAAAGGTAAGTCTAACCTGTGTTTACACAATGTTTGGCTGCCGGGAGCTACATAAGAACTTTATTGACACAACAAAAGTACAGCGACCTTCGTAAGGTCTAAAACTACATGTAGACATGCCAAAAAGTTACTCAAGCAACGGGATATGATTTTGGAAACGGCCATACTACCTGAAACGTCTGACTGTTTCCAAAATCATATCCAGTTGTTGAGTGACTGATTTTTGGCGTATCATATTACCTGGATGTCTAACCTTCATCGACGTACATGTAGACATACATGTACATACAAACACATGGGTACAACCTATGTACAATACAATATATGTGTCAACTTATACTACTTGTTCTAAGGTCTAAACATTCTTTGATATATTTACCTATTTGTACACAGTAAGGGTTATTACCTTCTAGGGTGAAATTAAATTTATCTGTAGCATGAAATGGAACAAATTCTGTTGAGCAAGCGGAGAGAAGGTTGAACAGCTTTGTGCGTTTATCGTTATATAGTGGACAATCCATAATAAAATGTTGTTCGTCTTCAATATCATAGGGACAGAATGGACAAAACCTCTGGTATATCTGTGATGTAACATAACCTGTACTTAGAGCGTTCTATCTAAAGACATTCAATTCATTATCAACATATTATCCCATAGCACTGTGCTGTAAGGCAAAAAATACGCGGTAACTTGTTTTGTATCGTAGGCTAGTTCTAGCTATTTAAAGGCGCAAACAAAAATGAAGGCACTCCCTTCGTAGCTTGTTTTTTTTTTTTTTTTTGCTATTTCAAACTCTTAAGTATGAAATGTGCTAAGAAATGAATAAGAAAGAATTTTTTGTCGTTTTGTTGCTCCATTGGATACCTTTCATTTTTTCCTATATTCCAACATCTAATCACAAGACGTGGTGACGGCACTCTCAAGTTTTTTCAACTTATATTAATGCCGCCACCAACACAGGGGACAATACAATACTCAAAGTCGTGTAAAGTGCCTTTCCCAAGGGCACAAGATCAGTGGCATGTCAGGACTCGAACCCGGGACCTCTTGATTCCGAATCGAGCACTCTGCCGCTACGCCACACGACCCCACATACCTTTAATTCATTTATGGTAAAAAAAAAGGCAGATAAAATTGCCCAGAACTGAAAGTCTTACCTTGAGACGTACTCTGTCCCAGCGAAACGGACACGGCTGAAATCACCACCGCTAAACAAGCGAACACCGCCCGCGCTCCTCCTGCCATGCTGCGGTTGACTACTCAAAATGCTTCTCCCGCTTTCTAGAACCCTTTTTTTTATGGTAGCAAAGTTCATCTAGCGTCTGATTTACCCCCTACAGCTGCCAACTTTTCCGCTCTTCCAAGAACAGGAAATATAAGAGTGTTATTTGTAGGTTACGCGTGCCGGGGTGAAGTTATCTTTAGAGCGTCTTTATTGTATGTACATGTTTACACAATATGTGGGTAACAACCAATGGGCGTCTTAGGACAATGCGTTTCTCGGTAGAGGAAACAGACATCATGTGATGAGGTCATCCGTAATTAGCCGGACTACGTCTTTTAGTTGTAACCATCCGAGGTGAAAAAAGTAGTCCATGAAATCGCTGGTCAGTGCACCTTTTCACAAACATATTAGTAACTTATTGACAAGTAGTTGTGCTTACAGGTGTGTGTTGTGTTGTGCATACTCCGTACACATTTTTTCATATACATGCATATTCCAAAATTTTATGACTAGACATGGTGACGGCACACTTAAGTTTTATCAACTTATATTCTATGCCGCCACCAACACAGGGGACAAAACAGGACAGAACAATACTCATTTTTACTTAAGTGAAGAGAAGAAAGTCGACGTGTAAAGTGCCTTTCCAAAGGGCACAAGATCGGTAGCATGTCAGGACTCGAACCCGGGACCTCTTGGTTCCGAGTCGAGCGCTCTGCCGCTACGCCACACGACCCCAAGACTTCAGCTATCTTGTGCTTGTCGCAGGTCTAAGTGTACGGTACTTTGTACCATAACGTCGCTGAGAACCCTACCAACAAACCAAAAAAAAATCCAATCCTCCCCACCGATTGCCTATCAGCCTTCATAACCTTTAGTCCACAAATACCTGTGCGGGATTCGAACCCGCGACCTAACCTTGTGGCCTTTGAACTTTTGAAATTCCTACGAGACAACAGCGTTCTAAATTAGGTATAATTAGCTGTAGTTTTTTCTTCAGAACCCGGACACTGACACTGTCCCTTACCGAGAAAGTCTTTTTCAGAAGATGTGTTATTCCGGGTAATTCTCTACTCATGCCCCACGCTACCCCCTTTTAGATATATTACGTATACCCCAGGTATTGTGTAACAGGCATGCAATGCTTACTGTGACAACACAGCGAAGCCGCAGCGCCTTTGTACCTATTGTGGCTCATTTCTAAAGTCTTTTGTTATCCCTCCGCACGCCTACTCTGACCCTCGGACCTGTACACATTACATACCTGTACGTACATGTACAGTCTTGGGGAACTTCGGAACAGGAGCTGAAGAAAAGGGCGTCAGTAGCAGGGAACACGTCCAGGCAAGAAGCACAGTTGACAACCTAGCAAGTAAGGTGACTTTATGTTAGAAACTAGACTTGACTATTTGTTTCTATTTTAACCCTCTTTTTTAAAGATTTACTGTAATTTGATACATGTTAATATCCTTCTTTTACGTTCTGAGTATTTTAGCTTCTTTTAGGACAGTTCAAATTTTCGAGGTGTACTTTTTTTCTTCACTTTGTCATTTGTGTTAATTTTTATACTATGTTATCATACTATGTATTTATATATTAAGAAGATATTATACATTCAAGTAGCTTTTATGAACGACCAAATATTTCACAGCTCAGTCAACGAATTGCGGAAATGAAAAACGAATTTACTAAAAGTTTTGTGTGTGTTTTAAAGTCAGTCAAGTATATCCTGAATAATATTCAAATTATGAAATCAAGAGTATAAGGCCCCCATTCCACAAAGACGACGCTCTCTCTGCGCTCCCTCTGAACTCTCTCTGCGCTCTCTCTGCGACTTCTCTGCGCTCTCTCTGTGACCTGAAATTGGCCGAATCGCGGAGAGAGCGACGAGAGATTAATAAGATCGCCATGTTTGGAAAATAAATTACTGTTGAGACCGTTCTGCGCTCGCTGTGCGCTCTCTGTGCGCTCTCACGGCGCTCTCACGGTGTTCTCACGGCGCTCTCATGGTGCTCTCACGGCGCTCTCATGGCGCTCTCGTGGCGCTCTCACGGCGCTCTCACGGTGCTCTCACGGCGCTCTCATGGCGCTCTCACGGCGCTCTCTCGGCGCTCTCACGGCGCTCATTGTTGGATCGCCGTCCTTGGCACTCTCACGGCGAGCCGGTTCAAAACAGTCGCCGAGGTGACGGCGCTCATGGCGCTCTCATATCGCGCTCCCTTGGCGATCTCTCGGCGCCCTCTCCGCGCTCTGGCCAATTTCAGGTCGCAGAGAGAGCGCCGTCTAAGTGGAATGGCTTTAGAAGAATCTTAGCTCTCAGTGAATAGTAAAAAAAGCACACACACACAAGTGGAACTTCGTATCCCAAAGCGCTGGAATATCAACGCCAATCATTGAAACTGATACTATTGAGCCAGACGCGTCCATAGAAAAGGTATCACGAAAACCGTAACGCAATCTGGTGCGGTTACGAGTATCGCCGGGTTTTTCTCTTTAAAAATTACTTAACACAATCAACAGTGGCGTGAATGTAAAGGTTTAAAATAACACAGACAGTATCAATTTGTGCTCCTGGCTACATTTGTCTCTACCAGACTAACTACGCTGGCTATATATAGGAGAATAATTGCCAGGGGAGTTTGGCCGCCTTGTAGGTTTGACTGGCCGGGCAAGGAGGGAAAGAAACTACCTCCCCGCGGCCGGACTCCCTTGGCCAATTTTTCTCTCTTTTCTGCCGAATTCTATGATCCCGGTAGAAAGACTAGCTGGAGGAGGCTAGCTAGACATTGCGTCCTCGACTTTCCTCAATTCAGTCATATCCATGTGTGAAATGGGTAGCTAATATCCGTTGGTAAGGGAGGTAAAACACGGTAGAAGGAGAGGGATGGGCTCCACCTTCCAAATCCATACCCTAAGTCACAGTGGATCATCAACCCACTGCCCCTAAGGGCCCTTCCAGTAAAAAATTTTCGTCAGAATTTTGGGGATTTTCGCTCCAAGAGCTCGAGGGTCAATATACATTGGGATAGTGTAGTTTCAGCTCAGTATGTAGATAGACAACTAGAACATTGACTTTGAAAAATCGGATTTCCAAGCCCTAAAAACTGCACTGGATAACTTTAACAAATCTACACACAAGCCAAAAACAGCGTAGGATACTTGGGGAAGGGGGTAGATGTAAAATGTTCTTAATACTATGGCTAGATAGACTTCATAACGCTTATGTGGTTCAAACGTCTTTTTAGTGGTGCCATTTTGCCACTAGCTTCATCATCATCATCATCATCATTCATCCTCCGTAGAGGTGGAGCATACAAAGTTAGTTCGCCACAACTGTCTGTCATACATCACTGAGAAAAGTTCATGTCCCTCCAAGCCAGTTTCAGTTTCAATAAGTTTCTTAACTGTTATGTTTGGGCGTCCAACTCTTCGCTTACAGGTATCAGGGTTCCAGATACTAGCTTCACCACTCCACAATCCACTAGTAAAAAAACAGCAACGCGAAAAACAAGCCATAGCCATCGTATACCCCCAGAGTCTTTTCTGTGATTGATATATATGGCCGTTACCAAGACAACTGATTGTTCAAACGTACTTTGTACTCGTTGTTAAACCCTTGAGTTGCAAGTTCCATGAAAAAAACGCTTATTTTTTTGTCCTAGCGGTCTATAGTCGTGCAATGACTTCACAGCCTATCGGTCGATCGCAATGACCTGCACTGCTTTTGCGCAATACTGCCAATAATGGTGATAACCATCAGTGAACAAACAGGTGTCAGTGCGGAATTTACTTCCTCCTTGTGCGGACTTTTACCCCCCAGGTAAATCCAGACGTAAACACAGGTGTGGACGTGAGGACGTTCGCGTACGTACGTAGCCTCCGTAGCAGGCTTATAGAATTAAGGGTTTGGTAGTCTTTGGCTATTACCCCCAAACTGGGCTAATTCAACCAGGCCGGTTTTGCTGTCTACGTGCAATCAGAAAATAGCACATAAAAGCTCCCAAAGACCCTGAAGACCCCGAAAACCCCCAGTTTATTTGGCATGCTATGGAGCTCGAGGCTATGCGAACGCCCCTGCCACACATTCAGGAATTTGGCCTCCCGAACTAGCCGAACGTCGGCGCCAATAACAGTTTCACTCTGCGATAGTTCTAGGGAAGAATGAATCTGTATCTGTATCGGTATAGCCGGTATAACCGCCCTTCATTTGCATTGGCGCACCAAATCCGTAGTGTGCTTTTGGCACACATTTTGACAAATTAACAGAAGAGGCTCGGTGGACGACACTTCACCATACAGGGAGGGAAGTCGTGTTAAGTTCCCTTCCCAAGGGCACAACTGTAACATTTTGACAATCACCCAAACTTACTATATTGATACTAAACGGTTTGTATTAGATTAACTCCTACATAGCCTACAAAACATGTTCTTCCTTACCATTTATTGATCATTTCCACCCAATTGCTGTTCTCTGTTTTTTTTAATTACTTTGTCATTGTATACTTGTTTGGTGGTGAGTTTAAAATTAGCTATAGCTAGAGTAACTCACCACCATGTCTTGTATGGTCCAAGTTGAATTGTAAATAAAAAAGACACAGCGTCGGGGCATGGTGAGTATCGAACCCGGGATCTATTGGTTCAACTAAGTCCAACGCTCTCGAGCTCGTTAAACCATTTCACCACAGACGCGCGGACACAGCGCCACACAATAGAAGTGTCCGAATACAGGGACAAGTGCCACGATTGATGTGCTCGGACTATTGAGTCAGCAGTTAATCTTTATTACCACCTCAAACACTACACAAACATGTCTGTAAATCTTTACAAAACTGTTTTAGTGCCTGTATTTACACACAAGATTTAGGGCCTGTTCACACACTAGGCTTGACGTATTGATCAAACTTGGCCATATCAGACCATGTTAGTTACCATAACACAGCGCAAATGGGCCAAAACAATCCACAGCAAACCAGCAAACACACACGTTGCATTGTCTTATTCAATGGTTTAGGCCCACACGGGCTGGGTGCGTGAAGCGCACGACACGGAAATAAAGCATTCCTTCCTTCCTTCCTTCCTTCCTTCCTTCCTTCCTTCCTTCCTTCCTTCCTTCCTTCCTTCCTTCCTTCCTTCCTTCCTTCCTTCCTTCCTTCCTTTCTTCATACATTGTTTCATGTCTTCCTTCTTTCCCTCCTTTTTTGTTCTTTCCTTCTGTCTTTCTTTTACTCTTTCATTCTTTTATTCTTTCTTTCATTCTTTCATTCATTCATGCATTAGAATACAAGGATACACAATAAAAAGACATTAAGATAAAATTCACACAGGAGGTCTGTGTAGACGGTCTCAGGGGCGAGCATTCCTGGGTTCGTGCCAAACTTAGATATCGAGTTACGGAAAAAGGAAAGCCTTTAAAAATCCCTGTAGGAAGGTCTTTCAAAAATCCTTGTAGGCGGTTGGTTCTGTGACAGCTTAATCAGGCAAAACATTTTTTAATTGTATTAAAATGCTGGTACCCGTTTTGCGCGCGTATGCTTTTCTTTATCCAGAGAAACATCAATTAATACAAATCAATTGATAGAGACAAAGTGAAGGTGGACTCCAGTTGTACTTATATTCATGCCGCCGCCACTTGTACATTATAGAAAATGAAAATGTTTGACAAGACACTCAAACTTGAGTGAAGAATGATAAACTAATGATAATAAATAGATAAATAAATAAATAGGAATATAACAGATGTAGAAGCGTCCTCATAGTGTTGACGTAAAGTTTGAAGTAGTAGAAACTTTATTTTAGTCTTGGTATGAAACTGTATTTTCTGCAAATCCATGTACATGTACCTCTCGCATTGTAGATTATAGTGCCCAAAACAGTAATATTACTATGTGATGACAAAATGTCTTTAATTCTATCCTATATGATTACGATGCCTTTCAAGTTGTATCTTTTGCCATTAATGTAAAGTATCAGACAGATTTGTCAGGGTAATTAAGGGAAAGATTTGTTCAAACAGACAGAAATTGATGAAAGTGATGTAACGGTTTATCATCTATGTACACATGTATTCTATACTCAAGTTAATAAAGAACAGAGATGAAAAAAAAGAAAGTTCAAGTGAAGTAGTAGGTATTTTTTACTTCCTAAATAAAATTATGATCATCGCCATATTGAAAAAAAACACCCTCCTCACATCTTTTAAGTACTTCTATAAGTGTAATTTCTATGTCTTTTTTTTTTCCTTTCAGATTTAGAGACTTTTTACCATGGCGTCCAGTATGTTGTACCAGGCGTTCCGTGTGGACGGAGGTCCGACCCAGTACCCGCCCAACCCCACCCCGGTCACCGCGGACGTGCTGGAGGTCGGCCTGGTGTTCGCCGTCGCCATCCTCGCCTTCTCCTTCCTCGTCATCCTGCCGGGAGTCAGGGGAATGCAGGTCTGGTTTTCTGGCTGACGTGCACATGTGTGTATGTGTGTTGTTTGTGTGTGTGTGTGTGTGTCACAGCGTGTGTGTGTGTGTGTGTGTGTGTGTGTGTGTGTGTGTGTGTCACAGCGTGTGTGTGTGCGTCGAGGTGAGCTCTGTGTGTGTGTGTGTGTGTGTGTGTGTGTGTGTGTGTGTGTGTGTCACAGCGTGTGTGTGTATGTGTGTGTGTGTGTGTGTGTGTGCGTGTGTGTGTGTGCGGGCCTACATGTGTGTCTGTGTGTTTTGCAGTGTATGTGCAAGTTGTGTGTGTGCTTGTATATGTACATGTGTGTATGTGTATATATGTGCTTGTATATGTGTGTTTGTGTATGTGCGAGTTGTGTAAAAATACTTGTGTGTGTGCCTGTGTCTGTGTGTGTACTCTAAATCATACATGCGCCCTTTAACGCTTACGATATAGAATATCATTATCTAAATCTTATTTCTTTCTTTAATATTTCCCGTACAGAGACTATTCTTCGCCGTAATGGTTTTCTTCAGTATATTTGTCTTGGCGACCATCATGGGTGAGTTTATCCAGCTATTTATCTATCTTATTTATCTTGTAGTCCATCCCGTTTGCTCGTTTGCAATAAACCATTATCATAACCACGAATATTCTACTTATTTCAAGCCCCAGTCACACATTCACGAATTTGGCCTCTCAAACTCTAGCCGAACGCCCACCAACAATAATGGGTCTGCTGGCGTACTGTGACATAACTAAAAGATCCTCGGTCATCTCACCGAATCCTGTCATGTCACCGAACGTATTATTATGTAACTGGAAAAGACGCTATACACGACTTTTCTCACTCCACCCAAGTGTAAAATGAGCATCTGACCTGTGCTGGGAGGTAAAATGTGGTACGGGCTCCGCAGACTCAGTGGATGGCACAGAGATATAAAAGGTGTATAGGGACTGGCTCTGCCTTGAAATGGCATCGAATGGCATAGAGATATAAAAGGTCTCACGAATTGGCTATGGGGCTTACTTTACTGTTACCGGTTTACCCAGTGAGTAACTTCGGCATGGAGTGGGAGACAGCCGAGGTGCACACCAAAGTCCAGTACAAGGCCTTCATCGCGGAGGAGATGGACGGCACGGTCGGGGTCAAGATCGGGCTCCGGGCGGTCAACATTACCCTGAAAGGTGACACTGACTGACCAGTCTTCGATTTGTTATTTGTTTGTTTGTTGCACCTAGGCTGCCGAAGCTCCACGACTCAAGAAGTCAGTACATGTGTACAGTGACGATTCATAAATTCCGCAGAAAGCCAGCATGTGTCGGCTTGTCAAATACGTCGTTATGCACTGCTGCAAATTAACTATAATACCAAAATAAAAATTATTTTTAGCCGGAATTTTTTTTAGTCGCCCGCGCGCACTAGTTTGGGGGTTTTCAGCGGATATCATCAATGAAATTAAAACGGTGTGGCCTAACATTACATCATACTATTGTTAACGAAAACCCAACACTCCCTAAAAGTCTTAAATACATGATTTTGTTTATAGTAGGGTGCAATGGATGATGATTGATCATGAGAAATGTTGACCTGGATATTTTTTTCCTGGTACCCAGGATCAGGAGAAGGAGAACTCAAGAACGAGGAAATAAACTACAACGAGCGGTTTCACTATGGACAGGACGGGCAGGGCAGGATAGGCTTCGGACCTTACGGTGAGGCTTCTCGTTTTTTTTTTAATTCCAACATATTATCACAAGACGTGGTGACGGCACACTCAAGTTTTTTTTCAATTTATATTGATGCCGTCACCAATACAGGGGACAATACAATACTCATTTTCACCTGAGTGATGTGAGGAAAGTCGTGTAAAGTGCCTTTCCCAAGGGCACAAGAGCGATATAGGTGACATAACAGGACTCTAACCCGGGACCTCTTGGTTCCGAGTTCAGCCACACGACCCCAGGCTTCTCGTTTGTTTGTATGTATGTTTGTTTGTATGTATGTTTGTTTTTTTTGTTTGTTTAATGCAAGACAAAAAGACCACCTCTGGGAACTGAGCTTAGGTGGCAGGAGGTAAAGGCAGTGTTCCGGGCGTATATATTTTGTATATACAGCGTTTTTACCTTCGCCAAGAATTGGAGAAGGTTATGTTTTCGTGGCCGTGTGTGTGTCTGTCTGTCTGTGTGTGTGTCAACAGCATATCTCGAGAAAGCTTAGATGGATTATCTTGATATTTGATAGGTGGGTAGGTCTTGATGAGAGCTCGAACTGATTAGATTTTGGGCCCCCTAGCGGCTTGTTATGGTACTGCAGCTAAACTTCCGGTTTTGATATCTCAGGATCTAGACATGCTAGGGTGACGAAATTTAGGTGGTAGGTAGCTCTTGTACTGGGGAAGAAGTGACATCAGTTTGAGCCCCCTAGCGGCTTGCTCTGGAACTGCAGGGCTATCTGTTTGAAAATATTCAAAAGAGGATAACTCAAGAACCAGTTGACGGATCGTCGTGATTTTTGGTATGTAGGTAGCTTACATGATGCTTGATGTAATTATGTGACAATTATGCAAATGTGGATGTGATTTGCATAATTTATGGGGATATTCTATAAATCAGCTGCATTCCATGATAGGACTATTGAAGCTTGTGAGATTGGTAATTGAGAAGGAGAGAAGGACATAATTTATGAGGAAATAATAGAATGGCACCTTTTGTTAATATAAGACTGTCTTTTGGTTGAGAATATGATAAAGACTGATATAATTCATGGAAATGAGGACCCTATCTGCACAATCAGGGGGAAAAATCTATATTTGTCAGCCATAAAGATTAACATCATTTGGCGAAGGTATGAGATCGCGGAACTCTAGTTAGTTATTTTATACTCTGTGTCAATGTTCTTTTATGTTTGTAATTTGCAATTAGCCTGCGGGCATGAACTTCAGATCTCAATTATGCCTTCCAGGAATATTGTGCTTGGTTCCCTATTGGCTATACCATAGAGTTTAGTTAGTAGCATTTATACGGGTGGCACGTACAGTATCTATATGCTGGTCCTCTATACAGTATACAGTGCAATATTGCGGAATACAATGCAATTTTACGGTATACAGTGCCATCTTATTAGTACAAATTATTACGTAAAATTGCACTGTATTCCGTAAAATTGCACTGTATTCCGTAAAATTGCACTGTATTCCGTGAATCGCACTGTATACTCTGGCACCCCTGGTATATGTACAGGTTGGGGAAATAGTTCTCACGTGAACGCGTCATACGTCAGAGAAACGCACAAACTCACCAACGCACCGAATGCGGAAGTAATTTTGCCATAACAGGGCAGAAGAAATCGAAGGTCAATGACCTTATTATACAATCATATAAATGAAATAAAAATGCGTAGAAAATCTCAGTAGAACAACGGTTATCATAATTACATGTTGGAAAATGTGTATTTTCGCCTTCGTCTGCATATTACGATCGTCATGACCTCATGGCCAGAGAGTTAGTTCTGCTAATATTGATTTGCATATACCTACCAATAACATAGAGGGAATAAAAATAGTGAAAAGAATTTCTTTAAGAGCTGGTCATTTCAAATGTTGCAAATCATACATGTGTGTCTTCATGTAGTATGAAAGCCTTATAAAGTCTGTGTTTTGCTTGGACAGAACGTGTTTGTGGCATTACAACGTAACTAATTAACAAGCTACTGAGCAAACAGTTGACTCATTTTACCTATGTCTGTGCCTATATTTGGGCACAACACACATCTACAAACAGCGCCGGCCATTGTCTCATGACCAGGGTGAAATAGAGTTTACTCGGGCACAAAGTACTTATGAGCGAATGTCTGTAAGGATCAAACAATGGTGGCAGGGGTCAAAAAATCGATTTGGCTCAAACTTTGCACAGTGATAGTACTTGGCCCACAACCCCTCAAAATAGCTTTCTTTCCGGTCAACACCGATCGTTGCCATGGTAACGGGCCAAACAAGTTTCAGGGCCATTTTCCCTGATTTAGACATGTGAAAAACATGAAATTTGGCATAGTTTAAGGCATAATTACGAGCAAGTGCTTTAATATTATGG